TCACCGCGACGCGACCATTTCGTTCCTAATGCACCACACCCCACTTTACTTGCTCATAGTGAGTTTAGTAACTATAGATTTGTACTGTTGGGATCTGCCACGACCCACCTCTGAGCTGAGATTTTTGCACTTTTTGCGTAGATTTCAGACTTGCTGAACACGAAAAACAAATTGAAGAGCTACAAAAAGGCATAAGGTCCCTTCCGCCGATTGCTAGTTCAGGTTGGTGACTACTGTTTTCATATTTAGTCCATTAGTAAAGAACATATTTGAGATTCTGGTATCGATGGAGAAAATGAAATGGAGACTGGCAGCGGACTATCATTTCTCAATGTTGCTACGAGCACACCGATACTCAACAGTAGTGTACGTTCCTGCTCACAGCAGATACTGCTTGAGGGCTTCGAATTAATGACGGTGCATTACAGCCAATGAATCGCTTCACATCGACTGGACACAGAAACCGCAACCATATTTCGGATGTATTCGCGAACACTGACAAGTCACTTCCATCACCAATTACTTTTCCATGTGATCAGATGATGACAACACCAGCGATGTTGGGAATAAAGAAGCCAAAACACGGGTACTGTACTTCAAACTGACCGTCAAACGTATTATGGACCTGATCAGATTTGACAACTGCTGAGCCTTGTTGTCTAGTCTACATTTATAGGGGCTGCCTCTTTTTTAGCTGGTCTTACCGCTCCATTTTTTTCTTTCTCTAAATGGAATCCACTACCCAGGGCGGAAAAGTTTCAGCATCCTAAAAATTAGTTTTCCATATTTTCATTTAGCATTTCCTTTTCACGGCTTTGAGTTTCATGCTTTGAAAAATACTCGATTGGGCGGAACGTTAGGTGATATTTTCTTATTCCCGTCCACCTTTTTCCCCGTGGATTTCTTCTTCGTAGACATTTTCGGTGAACTACACGTCTATCTAGGGAGCAAATGAGGGCTGTTCACCCTTTTCTTTTTGACCTCGATTATGAGCATATTTTTTACTGCCAGCTCCGAGCAATCGTCTAGCATCGCTTCCTCAGCCGCGATGTTTCATGAATGGGCCTGTGTTTGAATTTTCCTGTGAAGGTTTAAGGTTCTTATTTACAGAGGAAGCTCTTCTCGTAGCTCTTCTCGAGGTTCCGGGAAAAAATACGACTTCCAGGTTAATAGCTAGTCAGGCGAAGAAATATACGTTCACTTTTCTATGAGTTTTTCTAAGTTCAACTTTTCATAATAATAAGTAACTATTGTTTGTTGTTATTCGGTAGAGAGTTTTATTAATGGTATTTTTCACAGAAATGTGTTGTGTTCTGAATAATCAAATAATCACTCAAGTAATCCATATTCTAGCATATCCATATATTCTATTATGTTGGAACGGCTTCATAAAGTTTGGCATTCACTATTTATTTGTTGCAACTGTATTAGCTACAGACTACTCTAGTTGCTGAGATTTCTTATTAGTGTAATTGTTTCCTGAATGTGGGATTTAAACTGCTTTTCATAATCGAAGGAAGAGCCATTTCGGTTGGCCATTAATTCACTGTTGTTAATTTTCATCATCACCGGACTGGGAGAGGGAAATAGGACTGGACAGTGGGCGGACTCACACACTACTTCCCACGGTCGCACGCGGCAGTTACCGTAATCGTTCACTAGAAATTCAAACCTTACCCATACAATGCGAACTTCGAAAAAAGTGAACGCGACACGTTGTTTGAGTAAATGGTTCCGGCTGCAGAGAAGCATAGGGTAGAGAAACTATAAGGGAAACGTTGTTAGAACTACCTAAGCGTCAGTATCATGAAAAGTGAGGTTAAAGCCCTAACACCCACTGGCGATGAACTTGGAAGGGTAATTCCATAGGTGATTCTATTGTTGATAGAAATATTCACTGGTTACTGTTGCCAAAACCTCGTATGCGTTACCTGTACACCTCCCTTCAAAACGAATTAGAATACATGGTGCATAACCCTATGACCTGGGACCAGGGCCTAACATCATGGCAAGTTCACCAATATCAGTCACTGAGGTCCAGCAAACCTTGCTAAACGAATCGTACCTCACAGGGAAACTTGGCAATTCCTTAAGTTTCTACAGATGTACAGTTTTCGCGCCCCAATAATTAGCTTGCGTAAGCGAACCGGTTGCAGCGCGGCGTTTGTGATTGCTATTTTGGCGAATTCTTCTAGGGGCTTTTATTCACCAGTTTTGTCCCTCTTCTATCAGACTGAGTGAGGTTTCGTTCGCCACCCTATGAAAGCTTGTTGTCGGTAAGATGCGGAAGCTTGTTATCCCGAAATACTACGGTCGTCCTTCCATTGGCTTGGCTTTATTCGGCTGCACAAATCGACCATTCTACCACGTCTGTGTATTTCCTGATAGAGCTCTGGGACGGAGATACGAAGGCAATATTATCGAGCAGGTATTGTTGAAATTTCAAATCAAAGAAGTTCTACGTAATGTTGTTGATAATCCCAGCTTGGGACGTTTGATCCACTGCCCAATTCAAGAAACGAAAAACTTGTGTCTTTCAACTTTGGCCGATTGAAGTATTGGATTGGAGAGCGTAACGCTCATATATCTGTTCCCGTATTGGAACTTCTCGGTGGGTTTTCAAAGTACTTCCCTCCATATCATTGACCACAAATTCATTCATGTGGTTAAATATTGCGACAAAGATGCGTGGGCAATCGAGCCATGTAATCAACACTAAGCAAAAACTGAGGCGAAATGGTAAGTGTTAAATTCAGTATTTGATTACAGGTCTGTCTGGATTGTTTCCTATCCATCCGAAGACTTTCATTCGAGCGCGGCACAACAGGGAAGCTGCGGCTGCTTCAGCGCAAACCAAAGAGATAGGGGCCGATAGTGAAGAAGCCACAGAAGAAGCCACAGAGGTTGCTTTTGATACCCATTAAAGCATATTTCAACTTAATGAGCTTGCCGCTTCATGTTCTCTTCGAGTTGCGGTATGGAGCATTATTTCTTTGTAATTATATGTACCTTCATCAAAGTAGTTGACATCGCAAAAAAAANNNAAAAAAAACAAGATACTTTCACCATCTGTGGTCTTTCGGGTGCCCGGGAAAGAACGTTTTCGGGTTCTAAAAAATACCGAAGTAGGCGGTAAGACGTTGCTAGCCTTTCACGCGGTCCCTTACAGCACACGCCGTGAAAAATCCTCATAAATAATCTCAGGGTGGATGATGGTGCCAAGTTGAAGCGGCAAGCTATTCTTGTTCTTCCTATCGAAAGTGAATTGTTGCATATATGTTTTTTCAGGCTTCTCAAGAGGCTTCTGCTTAGAAGAATTCGCTGAAGAGATGTTAGTCTGTATCAGACTTATATTATTCAAGAGCCTCTTATTCTTATTATTCTTCCTTATACGACTCTCCGCACCCGATAGATGTTATAATAGCACAAGAGTCAACGTCGATAAAAATATTAGCACTCCTGACTCTGTATATAGAATCATTGGTACTTCGCAAACTTGTGCAGAAATCTACACTGAATCGTCACCTTTAGGTACTGTTCGGCTTTTAATACTTACTTTTGCTAATTTTCATCTCTAACCTTTATTTCCTTATTTATTTTCTAACCAACGTAACTTACATTCTTTTCCTCATTTGTTCATTCAGGTCCCGACTATGATTATCCTGTTTGCCCTACTGGTTTAGTTTCTGTTAGCGTCACTCCCACTGTTCGGATTGAGAACAACAATATGTGGGTACACATACTATTTACAGTTCTCCAAACAGGCGCTTCGCATAGTAAAGAACTGAAAATTCCAGTTTGCCCCATATAGAGCTAAATATTTCTGCTACCGTTTATGAGAATGCGAATTCTGTCTTTATTCGGCTGCAATGTTTACATGCTCCTGATGCCGAAGATATTTATTGCCATGATGCTGCAAGAATGTCATTTAAAGGGAAATGGTTGTGGCCATGCAGGGCAATTATTTTTGATGAAGGCGAAGTTGTTTCTGTGAGTTGGCAGCATTTAAGTGCTTGACTTTGACTTTTCTGCTTACCAAGTCATTAGACTCTTCACATATGACTTTTAGGCTCCTTTTACTTTCGGATACTCCTGTTTTCGACTGTTTGGTCTTTCTCAGTACATGGTGAATGTCACAATTTTTCCTCAGCAGTGCAGGTACGTGAGCAGAACAGCAAAAACTATGTACATTTATTAGTTTCTCCAACGTGTCTCTTTAAAAGTTTATAATGTGCACGTATGCGTTTCTGCAAAGGTTCCGTATTACGTTTTTGGAGGAAAGACAAGCATAAGGTTCTGGTCATTGCCGGAAAGGCTTTTGCTAATATAGATTATCGGTTTTTTGGTATAACCTTTCTTTTGACTTGTTGTTAGTAACGAATGAAGTTGTGAGATAACGCTATTTTTGATTGTGTAAGCATATATTTACGGTGGGTTTGATTGAATTCTATTCTGTGTGTCGCTTATTCAATCTATTCAGATCGAGTTTACTGGTCACTTCGCCATCGGATTCCCAGCTATCTCCAGAAATTGCCACTTTTTATGCAAACAAGGTAATTCCTCTTCTGAGTAGTAGAAATGTCCAGTTCTACAAACATTCACATTGTTATGTATCATATCATAATGCATTTGTTTTTCAGAATGTTTCTACTCCAGACTGGTCACCGCTGTTAATTGTTGACTTTGGTGATGAGGATGGGCTTTGGTTGCGCGTTGAAGGACCTTCTTCATCGCACGGTAATTATCCCGAATTCTCATCACTTAAATACTGATGAATGTGTTTTATCGAGGCTGTTAAGCTAGAGTAATTACCGTATCAGTCTTCGAACGTCACCTTGATGGTGTGCTTCGTCCTTTGCAATCAGTCAACGTTGTCCACCCGTCTACTGGATTCAAGGTATGTTTTTGAGTGAGGAAGTTCGAATTCTTGATTTTCTCAGTGCCTTTTAGAGACTAGTTAATGTGCTTTGGTCTTTTTTATTCGTCAACCAATTTGCCGCTCCACTCATGCAGAGATTTCAGTGGCGTAATGTAGCCAAAGGAGAGTACGTTGTATATACACATATTCCACGGCACGACTGCATGCTCATTTGTGACGACGTTCCGTCTAATTCCGTACCTTGTCGTCTTTGTGCGCACACTGTTGTTAACTTCTCACTCCCTGCTGATCGAGCAAGCTTGTCATGGAAAGGATTGCGTCGGATGCGTGACTCAAGCTCGTTCATCTTATTTGCTCTCGCTTGTGAGTTTTATTTAGACTTTTGAGTTTCGATAAATAAGATTTTTTCATTCCCAACATTTTTGATAGGTTACAAAATTCTAAGGAAATATTTCAGGTGTACTTCTGGGCGTAGCATTGTGTAGTATGTTCTACTTACTTGTTTTGCGGCGGCGGGTGCGGCGAACACCGGCTGAGGTTCGAGAGATTGAATTACAAGTGAAACCTTTGGTTCTCTTACTGACGCCAGATGACTGTGCTGAATATTCGGCAGTAGTGGTTGCCCTCAGTCGTGTCCTAGAACAGCATGCAAAAGTCACCGTTCTTCTGGATCATCACGAGATGATTAATTCTGGTGAGCTTTTTTTCAAGTTGTCTTTACCTTCTATACAGATGACCAGAAAGCATGCATTTCCCTTTCTTTGAACAATTTGGTCTCGTGTATGTGTTTTGATGGCCCTTCACAATTCAGTTGTTCGTCCATATCGTTGGCTCCTTGATTCGATTTGTCGAGCATCTAAAGTGTTGATCGTTATATCACCATGCTCCCAGTTGGTTCTCGACGGCCAAAATTTGCGACAGCGACGTCCTTTTCCCGATCTCTTCGTTCCTGCTATAAACATGATTATCAAGGTATTCTAGTTTATTCTAGTTTGTAACTAAAAACAGTTGCTTATGTGCTTATGAAAATATGTGCAGGAATGTACAGAAGCAGCTCCAGTCAATAAGTACATTATTTGTCGCCTTCCTTTTTCGCCAGCAACCCCTAACCAGTTAGCTATGTTGGGACTCCCAGAAGTAGAAGGTAAACTTTTTTGCCGCTCTCATTTTAAAGTCAGTGTAATCTGAGGAGCTTTCACGAACTATTTCCATAATAAGCCCTTGAAGATGATCTCTTGGTGTGAAGTACAAGGAGGACAACTTGAAGAAGCCTTTATCATGCTTTTTAGTTCCTTCAAACTTTGCTCGTTTGACAGCGCTTATTCATTCTATCGACGATGCATGTGATCACCAAGTTCCATCCAACTGTCCTGCCGTAGATGAATTTAATGACGCTGTTGAGACTATGATGGCTTTGATACACAGAAACCCTGGCTGGATGCAGCAGAGGCTTTGTACTGAGGTAATTGGACTGTTCGTCGTCTGATCGTTTCGATTTAAGATAATGTGGTAAAAGTTCAATCATCTTGTGTCGCTTCAGCAATCCAAACCAGAGAGCAGCGGGGATCTGACTGAAATTCCTAAAGGAGAAGTCACCAGACTGATAACAAATGATGAAAGAGAAAAAGCAGCAGAAATCTTCGGTGTATTGCCGCCAGAACCGAATGAGGTAGGCCAGTACTTCGTCAGTTTTTCACTGTTTAACTGCTATTGATGTACCTCTTTTTCTTTTTACCAGTCCTTTTTGCCAGAATAAGACTTCTTTTCAAAAGCTGTTCTTAGGAGGATGAAGCCAATGCAGAGTTTCCGTTATTGCCGCCCGATGAGGATTGATGCTTACTATCACTGTTAATGCAATATGCAGCTGTGATATCATCAATAAAAGTCCTACAAATGCTCAATAAGTGTTTATTCCCTCTAATTGTACTTGTTATTGTGAAATCGTTCTAGTTGTTTGCAGTTGTTGTTTGTCGCTTGAGTAAATTTCACGTTGTTCTATAAAGATAAACATTTTTCGGGACTTTGCCAAAGTTTTTCATATGTGTTGATTTGCACTCAGTATTTGAATTTGCATTTGATAATTGCTGTTGATTTGGTCAGCAGTGTTTTTTGACTTCATTTCTCCTTTTTGTGTACATTTAAAATTCACATTGTGTTCAGTATGGAAGTAACGAGGGAGAGCCGAAAGAAGGAACGGCGAAAAAGACGTGATGGATTGGGTGAGTGTTATGTGGGAGTAGTCAATCTGCATAGTCTTTTATTCATAATTGGTTTGAATTTCCAAAGAACTGTGTACTAAAGCAAATTACAAATCGCGACACCGTTTGCGTTTCGTTTTCTCTCTTTAGACTTCTCGTTCCGGTAATATCTAAGGTTATTTCGAAAAGGAATTGTAATCTCTTTTTGTAGGAGGATACCATGAAACTGTAGTTTTCTTAAGAGAGCGTAAAGTTTCCATCCGAGAGGCTCATATGGGGCTTGACACTTTTTTCTGTGTTCGATTTCTTATGCGCGTGATGGATACATGCTTTTACCAAGCGCTCGATTGAAAACTTACCTTTTGCCTATTTAGATTCTCGAGTTCTGAAGAATGTTAGGAGAGGCGTCATACGTGATAATTTGCATTCGAAGTATTCTAGCATTGTACCAAGTAGTTCCGAAGACAAAAGCGACTCATCGGTAAGCATTCAGAAGAGTGTGTGACTCTGCTTCGAAGGGTAGAACCTATTCCAGGACAACAATAATGGTGTGATTCGTTCGTGTCCAAGCTCACCCATAACAGAACCCCGCAATGAAGTTTCGAATGGCAGTGATATTAGGTATAGCTTTATACACGAGTAGTAGCGGTTCTGTTGCCACCGAAACATTCAGTCAGCTAATTTTTCAAGAAATCTTCTTCACAGGAAGTGCACCTCACCGTCAACTTTGATTGTGAAGTGTAACTCTTCGCCTAAGGAGAATTCCGATCAAACGTCACGCGAACCTTCCTCCGAAAAATTCGAAAACGCATGCTCGGAGAAGATCGAATGGGTAGAGACTGAACAGTCTGCTGCAAGCCGTTCAAACGAGTCAAAGCGAGGTGGGATGGATTCTCCGAATCCCTCGTTATCATCACTCCCATGTTCAGGTAATGTTCATTCATATATTACATAGATTTTATTGTTTTTAGGAATCTTGCAGTTATCAAATTCGATTCCATTAGATTTTATACTGTAGTACTGCATAGCCAAACTTCAGGAAAGGCCAAACAATCTCGTCGCTCGTTGCCTAAAGTTGGTACGAAGGAGAGGAAGGAAATCCTGGCGGAAGATGCCAAACGACGGCTACGTGATTCAGCTAATAGACATACGTGAGTTTCATCTTTGTTTCGAAGATTCAGAAATTTCGAGGATGTTAACGTTAACATATTTTTTTGCAGTTGCCCTCACTGCTCTTACTCAGCTCCATTTCCAAGCAAGATCAAGCGTCACATCAACAACAAGCATAGTGGTGCGTTACTGCTGTCTGCGTCCATCCTTCTGTTGAACCCACTTGAACTTCATTTTCCTCACCTTTAGAATCTCACTTGTGCTCAAAATGTGGAAAGCGTTTTAATGACTTCGTGGAATTGCGCACACATGTCGCTACAGTCCATCCGGTAGCTCACCGTTGCAAGTTTTGCCAATTTTCAAGCAAGGTTAGCCTCTTTGATTTCCCGTGTTCTCTGTTGTCGTATCGAGTTCCGCAGTACATTTCAAACTGTTTGATGTTAAGGTCCTCGCTGAAGTTCGGAAGCACACTCTCGCTAATCATGAAAAAGGGATTGCCTGCACTGTAGCTGGCTGCAATATGCGGGTGGCACGATGGCGATTGAAGTATGAACTATATGTGAAACAAGCTTCAATCGCTATTGTTTGAATTTACAGACATCACTTGCGGACAGTGCATCCCGAGAGCCTACCAACTGGATCTTCACGTGACGTGCGGTCAACGCTTGCTCCATCGGAAGGAACTTCATGCTTCACTTGCTCCCAGTGTGACTTCATTACAAGTGAATTGGAGGATTTCAATTCACATTTGATGAAGTGGGTCGCGGTAGTGATTAAAATTTCTCTATTTGTTATGTTTTGAATAAGTAATTTTGCGATATTTCTTTTGAAGCGCCCACGAAAAAGGAATTATGTGCCCTATGCCGGATTGTACTATTCACGTCTTACTGGGTGATTTGGATAGCCACTTGCGTTCTTTCCATGAACAATGTGATGTTAATCTCCTAGAAGAGCTTGACGGCGACCGGGAGTTGGAAGAATCGAGTTGTGAGTTGTCGTTGCCACTCAGTACCACAGTTTTCTGCAGTTAGCTTTTCCGCAAAACTTTGTTCTTTACCTTGACAGTTTTTGATTCTCATTCTTTAACCGTAGGCTCTCACTGGCCTGATACGAAACCATGACCGAAGACAGTTAGCGCCTCATTGTCAAATTTAAGGATCATTTTTAGGCTCATCGATGCCGAAATCTGAGCCCAAACGTTTGGCTAGCTGTACAACGGCATCGGTATCCGAGTGTGCATCAACGTCAGATATTTCGGAAGATCTTCTGTCAGATTGTGATCAGTCTGAAGACTTCAAAAAACCCTCTTTCATAAAACTGAAAAGCAATGGCGTTGGTACGTTTCTTTTGCCAAGTATCGCTTTTGTTCGGATTTATGAAGAAGTGTTATAAAGCACAATGAGTACATCATGTGTTAAGGTATGCAATGTGCTCTCTGTGGTAAACACTATCGGAACTCCTACCTTTTGAAGAAACACATAAAAAGTGTAAGTCACTTGTCATTGGCTCGTTGGAAAGGCGCTGCGGATAAGTAAAAGTTTTCAAAGGCAACGGCCTTAAACTGTTGCTTTTCAACGAGTGCCTTCGTACCTACTTTTTTCATTAAGTAGCGCTTCAACAGAAGTAAACATTTGTTGTCTATTATTGGGAGCTTCAACCGACTGTGGAAATGAAATTTCAGGTGCATGATAGAGCGTACAGAGAATATAGAAGAACTCGAAAATATTTTTGTTATTGGGAAGGTTGCGGAAAAACCTTCAGGACTAGTGGACTGCTAGACGACCATCTTAATCACCACAAAGGTATGTTTGTTTTGTAAGTCGAGAATTGTGACTTTATTGGAACACAGCGATTTGTCAGATAAAAAGGCCTATACCGGATACTGGTGGAAGCCTTACTTTATGCTGATCTGTATCCTTCAGTCCCCTGACACGAATTCCTTTTTAGGAATAACACCATACTGCTGCAAATCATGTAACGTCTCATTTTCCGCAAGAGCTCGATTTGCAGTACATCTTTCCAAGTATCACAGAATGAGTATTAGGGATTATACAAATGTGAGTACCTTTCTGGCACCTTCAAAAGTGCCTAACCCCGCGAATTCTTGAAAAATGTTGTTTTTACCTAACTGTCGGCTTGCTTACTCATTTTCTCAAGGCTTTACCCGGTTGCATGGTATTTATTCTTGATGCCTTACCTTAGTGCTATGCTAAATTCATGTGATATTAGATGTACTTTGAAATTCTAATATTCGCTACAAATAGGACCTAAAGTCAGGTTCAGTTCGATAAATGTTAAGACTGAATTTAACAAATTTTTATGATTGCACTCGTTGTTTGAACTTGAAGCTTGCATTTTCCTCTTGTTTTCCTTTTTGTTTTTGTTATTGTTTTAGTGGGAAGATATTTTCATCGGTTAACAAGATCCTTAGGCATTCTTTTTCCATTCCAGAAGTTCTGCTACCTCAAAATAAATTATATTTTCGTGTTTAGCATTGAAATTCTGTTGGAGATTTACCTTGGATATATTTGTTTCAGAACAACGTTCGATCACACGTTAAGTATAGTCCTTTGCTAGCGACGATATTTATAAATAGGCAGATATCTCCAGAATGTCCTGGAGATAGGAAGTGGTAGGTTTAAAGTGGCTATACCTGTGAGTTTAATGCTATCTAGTAAACAGTTTCCTTGGGGCTTTGCTGCNAAATTATATTTTCGTGTTTAGCATTGAAATTCTGTTGGAGATTTACCTTGGATATATTTGTTTCAGAACAACGTTCGATCACACGTAAAGTATAGTCCTTTGCTAGCGACGATATCTTATAAATAGGCAGATATCTCCAGAATGTCCTAGAGGTAGGAAGTGGTAGGTTTAAAGTGGCTATACCTGTGAGTTTCATGCTATCTAGTAAACAGTTTCCTTGGGGCTTTGCTGCACTACCCACTGATGTCTGTAGGATCGGTTTGGGTAGTCCAAGTCTCTGTTGCGAAAGTTTGGAAGCCTCGTAATTATCTGAGCCTGAGAGAGAATTTCCATAACTTCCGAGACTATTTGAAGAAGAAGACCTACACATTCGAAGCCGGCAAACAGCGTTTATTTAAAGCATCGTTTATTTAGAACATCTTTGTAATGTCGATTACAATATTTTAGAAAATCTATTCATCAGGAATCCCTTGGAAGGTAATCAGCAGAGGAACGATCGTTCAAAGCGTTTATACTCTGCATAAAAAAATAGAACTCTGCCACACATGAAGGCACATTCAATGCTGAATGTCGGTTAGAAGTGCTGCTTATGCCATCAATTCGAGTCAAAATCAATTTGTACATATGTTATGCAATTATTCAAGGCATATATGACTTAAATTATTGAACAGTACAATCGCCTTTGCCTATTACCTGACTGGTGCCATTCAATATTAATCAATCAGGTTGTAGGAAAAACTGCAGTGGTCAAAGTTTTCGCACCAGCATGGGCAGTTCGTGGGATCGGATCCTGATAAAGTCAATCATACCTCTACAATTACCTAGGCTCAACTGTGATATGGTATTTCCTGAGGATATTCTAGCAATTCCAATGAGTTCTTCTTCAAATGAGATGCCTCTCCCGGTTCGATCAGTCAGGATTCGATCCCACAAGCTGCATGCAGTCCCTATTAATGTTATAGCAGCTCATACTCCATATACTCATCATATGAGTATACATTTGAAATAAAAATCAGTTATGATGGTGAGAAAATCCCACAGAATAGGATTCTTTTTGGATATGACAGTGACAGGCGTAGAAGTAGCTTCAGAGGCTTAGAAGCAAAATGAGAAAAGGCCGTCTTCTCCTTCTCTGAGAGAAGAAATTACCGTGGTACACGGGAATATATTTGCTTCCATCAGATCTATTGTATCGCATCACTTATGCCGTGAATCCATCCTTTGATATTGTGATTATTCTTCCGTTTATGGTCGTCCCTTGATAAGCATGATGAATTCTGGAAAAGGCAAAGTTATTCCGATGGGGAATACATATCAATGAAAATACTGGAAAATATCATTCATGGATAAATTGTGCTAGCTTATTCCATAATTCTGCCTTTTGCTTTTTGGCTACTCCTGCATACGTTCACCGTGATGGGCGAGAACGACCGTGAAAACAGGGCTCCCCATAAGTGGGCGGAGCCGTAGGCGGGATTACCTGATTCTGCGGGGCCACTGTCTCGAAATAGTTTCAAATTGATAGAGCTGACTAGAGTTGATGAAATCTTCCACTAATAAAGGATTGAGGTTATGGTGCCTATGTGTTTTTTGGGTGGAGGGCTTGCAAAGGAGGATAACTGTAGACTGATGTTCCTACCATGGAAATTGATCATGCCATCTCGATCCACGTCTCCTTCTTTGATCATGTCATTAGCGTCAGCTTCACTAAGTTTTTCTCCTAAAGATTGCATTGCCATTTGCAAATCATCGGCCGATATCATTCCATCGCCATTTTTGTCAAACACCTGGAACTATTGCAGCCATTTTTGGAAATTTTTGGATGAGAGTAGTCTATCGCTTGAAAGTGTGGAACAAGCGGTCATAATTGATGTCTATAAGTGGTAGTTACGGGTATTGGAAGTCATCTACTACGAGCTCTCTCATAAGTGTTGCCCCCCTCATAACACAGAACTCCGAGTAGGTACTGTATCCGACAGCATCCTTCGTATCCCTCTGGCAGCCTACCCTCTTTTTTCCCCTCCTGTTCCCCTTCCTTGCTCATGCATCACTTTTTGGCCTCCTTCCTAATCCATTCATCATTTATTGGGCTACGGTAATTCCGTTTTTACCATATCTTGTCAAGTTCAATCCCCCTCTGTTCCCCTTACCCTCTTCCTCCTCTCTCCCGCTTCCTCATGGGTTGTTTTTTGCCCAATTTCTTATTCATTTTGGGCCTTTGGCTACGCCACTACTGCCATTCTTTCATATCTTACCATGTTCGAAGGCAAATCCCCATTAT